ATAATGATATTAATAATAATTAATGAATCGTATAAAAGAGAATAGAATACACTTGGCTTGAGACTCTGATTCTTGAATTTCATATAATTCTAATCTATTTATGTTTCTCAATATTTAAAAAAAAAAATATGTAACATAAAATTTGAGAGATAAATCACATATGCGAATAATGAGCTTTTTATTTAACTTAAAAGTTTTTTTTTACTTAACTTGATTGAAAATTTTCCAAAAAAAAGAAATTTTTCCGATGAAAAATAACATGAAGAAGTGAAGAGGTAAATTTGAAACGAGACGGGTGTTTAAAACATATATCTCGAGTGTTTAAACGAATCTTGCAATTATTTGGAAATTATTTCTCACTGTCACTAAATCAAAATTTTTAACTTCCTTTTATTAATGAACGACTTCTTTTTACTTTGTTCTACAGCTGCAACCGTGAAAACATGCAAAAAGGATTCCGATGATTTCTCATCGTGTTTGAGGCTGGCCATTCAAGAAGCATGGCCCACGTTTATTTCAGGTAATACAATTATCAAAATTCTTTTTTATCGACAATAATCTTCACGATAGTAAAACCAACAGTTAAACGAGCAGTTTATTTATGCATTGAGTTAAATTTCCATACGCGTCACAACCCAATAATCACAATTCTTTTTTCGTTTAAACTTGTTTTGAATTTGTCCTTGCATCGATTGCATTTCTCTTTTGAAGTGCATTAAAGTAAGAAGGATTACATAACGCTGCATAATTGTAAAGGTCGTGTTAGCATTTTTTATTGACTAAATAAACAATGAATTAATCTGTTCAGAGAATAAATCGTACATTGATTGATTGATTGACTAATTGTAGTTTCCTAATTGTCGTTATATGCCGATTTCAGGTTTTCCATTCATTTGACAAACATCTTTTTACAAAATTTATGTTCATGTCCCTTTTAAAACGTATTACTCAGTATTAAACACATTGCGATGAATGTGAAATTATGTTTGTCCTCATTTTTATGATTATTGATTAATAATAAAAAATAAATTACAGTTTAATATTAATTCTCTTTTCATGAAAGATAGCTTCATAAATTTTAATCAGATATTACAGCTGTTGAAATCTTTCATTCAAATCAATCGTCTCCAAAAGTTATACAAATTATTCAAAACTATGAACATATAAATCATTGAAAAAACTGAAATTAAAATTGGAATAATGAATTAAAATTGTAATCTGATTTCTTAATCAAATCAGGCTTCTTTAAAAATTTTAAAGCTTGTAACTGTAAGCTTCAATTGTGATTGATAATCTATTATAGTAATTCGTGCGATTGTAACTCTATAGCTAAATAACATGAAGAATAACTTTAAATCTTGTGAGTAAGTATTTAGAAATCACAAATTTTTTTACTCATCAATCAAAGACTAATTTCTTCAAATTTTGCAACAGGATTGCCAGAGTTCGATATGCCTGCTTTGGATCCCTATTACACCGAGTCTTATTCGATGGAATATGATGGGGGCCAGCTTCGTGGAAAATTGGTTGCCACGGACGTCCGAACGTACGGTCTTGCTAAAGCGCATTTCTTATCCGTAAAACCAGAAATGGTAGATGACTTGTTCCGGCTGGATATCGATCTTGAGATACCAAAGCTTTTAATCGATGGCAATTACGACGTCGATGGATTTGTGGCTTCCTTTAAAATTGGTGGACAAGGTATACTATAAATTAATTCTATAAAACATTATTATATAAAATACTTAAATATATCCTAGGATAATATGAAATAATATTACTTATTATTAACAATCAATACTGTAAAATTTTTGTCGTCATATGAGAGCTAACTATTAAAATTCAGTACACTGTAAAATCTATAAAACTCATAAATTTAACTTTAATCTTTTTGATAAAATTTAATCAAATTCAATGTACTTAAATCTGATTAATTAATACGTAAATTAAATTATTCAGAAATTCTTCTTTATATTCAACAGGATTCTTCAACATTAGCATGGAGGATATGAGATGCACATGGGACATCTCTGGTCACGTAGTGGACGATAAATGGGTCGTAGAACACTTCAAAATGACGCCTACAATTGGGGGTATGAAGATCTGGTTCAGTGATCTTTTCAATGGAAACGACGATCTCAGTAAGTATATTAAATCATCTTATTATCTGCAATTAACGCGATTAAATCGATTCGTTACGTTACGTACAAATAATCGAGTAATCCTGGTGTCGATGACAAAATCATCATACGATTACTTACTATAAAAGTACGGTATGACATAATAGAGGTAAGTAGTATGTACTATAGTTGGAATAATTTGCTGTTTACTTAAGGTAACTGCGGCAGGAACTTTCATTAGTTGAATACGATGTTGTCTCGACATTCCATCATTGCATAATGTTACGTTGCCATAAGTACACGAACATCGAGATTCGAGTTTCGAGGGAATCCTCTGCCGCTTAATTAACATGCAATCGCTATGTCTTGTTGTTATTTGCTGCATATCCTGGTACTTTTGTCTCCTTTTTCTCTTACGATATTGTTGGGCTATTACGTGATTGTCGAGTGTATTCAGCCTTGTATCTCGTTGTACATATGTCAGTACATATTTAATTGTGTTATTAGTTTGTTGATTGATTGTTCAAGGCCTGGAATATTTTTATTTGCTTTTTATTTGAAATATTTGAAAGCTGTATAAAAGAAGTATTCTGAAGTATATTTTCGTAATTGTTAATTTGCATATTGTACACTCATAATTAATTACATGACTGGTTATTATTTAGTTTTAATAATGTATACCCTGTGATTCAATATTTTAAGTAAATGCTTTTGCAGAGAAAATGTGAGATTGAATTTAACAAGGTAGTAGTAATTGATGATAGCGATTACTCTATATCCATATTTATTTGCTCGAATACCTACGTATATTGATACTTCTCTGACGTTTCATAAGGATAATCAATCTTAAACAATTTTTTTCCCCAGGATAATCTTTGCAATTTCTGTAGATTTAGAAACGAAAAATATTGATTATTAGTTATTTCATATTATATTTTACGTTCATTCATATTCAATATTTTATAATAAGCTCCAAAGAGATTATTTTTAAAAATAATCTCCTGAAAAGTTCAAAATAATCTGAATAATTTTTAGAATAAACTGTAAATCTTCAGCAAGACTTTTATAAATTTAAATATTATTTAAGTAAAATGTATTAAGAAATTTATTAACATTTATCACGGAATTTTTGCGTAAAGAAATAGAAAACTTCAATGCAAGCACTAATAAGAAAATTTTTGTAAACTCAAGTATTTTATAAGGAAAATTTACTGAAAATTCATTAAAATATATGATATTAAATGATTATCTCATAAAGTCATATGGGAAAGAAAATTGAACTTTAAGAAAAAGAACTCCAAGGAAAACCGTAAAATGAAAGCTTTTACAAACTGTTATATGCTTCCAGTAATAATTTCATGTTAATTAAAAAAATTCTGTTTCCAGATCAAGCTGCTATGCTCTTTATCAACGAATACTGGCCACTAATATACCGAGGAATGTTGCCAAAAATGATGGATGCTTGGGACGTGTATCTGTCTGAATTTA